AAAACTTAGAAGTTTTGAATAAGATGATGTCAACAGTATTACAAGAGCCTAGTGCAACAATTAAACTGTGTATACAACGAACAGCTCAGAAAAATCTAGAAATATCTAGACCTCTAGTGATAACAATATTCACATTATGAGAAAAACTTAGAAGTTTTGAATAACATGATGTCAACAGTATTACAAGAGCCTAGTGCAACAATTAAACTGTGTATACAACGAACAGTTCAGAAAAATCTAGAAATATCTAGCCTTCTAGTGATAACAATATTCACATTATGAGAAAAACTTAGAAGTTTTGAATAACATGATATTGTTACGTCTCCGTTCGTTAGTTAATTTTCCGTACAAATTCTTCCCGAAGAATTTTACCGATACAAGTCCTTTCTCAAATAAAACTGGTTTATTCTTTCCGAATACAACTTTGCGATACACTTAATTTCAACAGTCGCTCTATAACAAACGCTATAATGCACAACAAACTTATCACGTGCTCAACAATATTCTTACTCATTAGCCTACGTTGCTTCTTGGCCGGTCTTATATATATACAAGACTACCCCAATCTAGTAGTCTCCCGACGATTCATGAAGGTTCGAGAAGGAAGTGGCGTGATATGAGCGTCACGTGACCTACGTTGTCATAACAATATTCAACAGTAATACAAGAGCCTAGTGCAACAATTAAACTGTGTACACAACATACAGCTCATAATATGACATGGGACCGATTGGACCATCTTGACTGTTCCATCCTCTAAACTAAACTAAAACTATTAATAAATAAATTAAAAACAAAAATCTTAAAGCCAGCCCTTATCTTTCATATACTTATCAAACTTTTCTTAAACTCACTTAAACTTACTGTCCCTACAAAATTTGAAGGCAACCCATTTCAAAGGCCAACCACCCTGTTAGAAAAATGAAGCTGTCTTAGCTGAAGATAACTCATACCTTGTCAAAACTTATATTTATGTCCCCTAGTCCTACTATTTTCATTGTTAAATATGAAAAAAGATGATTCCCTTTACAATCCTAACCACCCCAATCAGATCCCTCCTAACTCTTCTTTTTTCAAGAGAAAACAATTTGAGAGATTTCAATCTCTCATTATATGACAACTCTTCCATTGTAGTAACCCTTCTCTGAACCCTTTCCAACAAGTCAATGTCTTTCCTAAGGTAAGGAACCCAGGATTGAACACAATATTCCAAATGTGGCCTAACCAGTAACATTTACAATAAATTATAACCTCTTTAGACTTGTGTTCAATATTTCTATAGATGCAACTTAAAATCCTATTTGCCCTACCACTAGCAACAGCACACTGCTTGAATGGCTTTAGAGACTGATCAACCATTACACCAAAATTCCTTTCTTTCATAACACTGTTAAGGTTATTCCCATCCAAATTATACTTATAATTCAAATTATGATAATCCACATGCATTATCTTGCATTTATTATAATTAAAACCCATCTGCCATTTATTTGCCCAACTCACTAAAATGGTTTAAATTCTTTTGTAAATCAGCAGCATCCTCTTCACAGCTAGCAACACCCAAGACCATAATATCATCTGCACATTTAAGTAATTTATTGACTATTCCTTCATCTATGTCATTGATGTAAATCAAGAAGACCAAAGGTCCCAAGACTGTGCTATGAAGTACCTCACTTGTAACATTAATCCAATTTGATTAAACTCCATTTGTAACAACCCTCTGCTTTCTTCCATCCAGTCACTCTTCTATCCAACTAGCAAACTTATCCCCCCACACCTACAGAGATATTTTTAGAATACTTTTATGTGGCATCTTCTCAAATGCGTTCTGAAAAGCCAGATACACCAAATCTACACTCTTACCCTCATCTACATAGGCAGTAACCTTTACAAAGAATGTCAAAAGATTTGGAAGGTAAGATTTTCCCTTATTGAAACCATGTTGACTATCCAATAGAATTCTAAACTTTGTTACATAATTTTGCAAAGCATCTTTTAACACACTTT